TTTGCTACGTGGCCTGACCCCAAAGGCCACTCTGGGTCATGTGTCATGGGTGGTAAGCATGGGAGCATCAAAGTGGTAGTCCATGGCTCTCTCACTGACTTCTTGGCCTTCAGTGTATTACCATGTGTTACAGTTTCCCTGCTAGAGGAGGTTATCAACTCATCAACACGGTTCATTTGGCAAAATCTAGATCCTTAAATGATACGATTTTTACAATACTTTAAAATTGGCTGTATATATTTCCAGATTTTTTCCCCTAAGCATCTACTAACGAATAGTTATATGTATCAGAAAACAAAAAGAGAGCTGGGCAGAGTGGCTCAAGCCTATAATCCCAGCACTTTGGGAGGTCAAGGTGTACAGATCACTTAAAGCCAGGAGTTCAAGACCAGCCTGGCCAACATGGCAAAATCCCATCTGTATAAAAAATACAAAAATTAGCTGGGCGTGGTAGCATGTGCTTGTAGTCCCAGCTACTTGGGAGGCTGAGGTAAGAGGATTGCTTGAGCCCAGGTGGTTTAGGCTGCAGTGAGCCATGATCACACCACTTCACTCTAGCCTAGGAGTCAGAGTGAGACCTTGTCAAAAAAAAAAATAAATAAATAAATAATAAAATAAAAAACCTCAAAAAACAGAAAGAGCTTCATAATCTATATACACCTCTTTTCTTCATATGGTTTGGGCATCTTTTCATGTCACTCTATATAGCTCTACCTCATTTTTCCCTATCTTATTCCTTTAAATATTTGCATAGAATTCAGCAGTCATCCCTCTCATTACAAGGTTAATTTGTTCCTAAGAAAATTCATAGGGTGAATTTTCATAAATGGAAAAGATAATTACTATTTCAACTGATGGTACACAGTTACCGTACAAGTTCAGAAACAAAATACACACGATTCTCAAAGTTATAAAAATTTTTTAAAGACCAGTATAAGAGAGACAAAGGAAACAATACAAGTGATGCCTGAGTCTGTTACTTAAAACCTGCACCAACTATGTCACTGTAGAGAAGACAGCGTGGAGGCTGCTCCTGAGGCTCAGTATCGGTCTTTGCTAATGCAGTGAAATCCTCACAAGCCAAAGAAAAGAAATTTAATGAAAATGAAACTCCTCCTAAAGTTGAAATCTTGAACTTGCATGGGCATATTTTAGGGTGAGACTCTTTCCCACAATATGGATGCATTATAATTTATGACCCAACTGTTCATTATGTGGACATTTGGGTTCGTATTAATCTGCCAGGACTCCCATAACAAAATACCACAGACTGAGTGGCTTAAACAACAGAAATGTATTTTCTGACAGTTCTAGAACCTAGAAATCCAAGATCAAGGTGTCGGCAGCTTGATTTCTCCTGAGGCCACTTTCCTTGGCTTGCAGATGGCAATCTTTTCAATGTATCCCTGCATGGTCTTTCCTCCCTGTGTGCACCCTGGGTGTCTCTATCCTTAGAAGGATACTAGTCATATTGGATGAGGTCATTACCCATATGACCTCATTCAACCTTATTTACCTCTTTAAAGGCCTTATCTCCAAATACAGTTGCATTCAAAATCATTAGGAGTTAAGATGAATTTTGGAGTGTGCAATTTGGTCCATAACTGAGTTGTTTCTCATATTTTTCACAGATATTCCTCACCTCACACACTCCTCAATCCACTCTAATCTCATTTCCACCCTCAACGCTGCAATGGATACTTCCCTCCTCTGAATGCCACCTGGTCAATTATGATTGTTGCTCCTGTAAACAACTACAGTGTTCTCCTTCTAATTGGTTCCATGATGTTTATCATCCCCCTGCCGCTGCCCAATCCATTCTTCCATAAACATAGTAAAATGCATTTATAATCTAATCACCCCACTCCTTATCTTGATACTCTTCCTTGACTCCTTGCTTTTAAATTAAGATGCAAACAACTTAGGGTGGTGGACAAGCCCTTGCAGGATCAGCTATTGGTCCACCTCATTCATACCCCAACGGCCTCCTCCAACCCACTTCATTCCAGCCACACGGGCTTGCTTTCATCCCATGAGAAGGGTCAAGTCTTCTCCCACTTCAGGGCATGAATTATGTCCTCCGCCAAGAACAACCTCCTCTTTGTCTGGCAAACACCAGCTCATCCTTCACATACATTAAAAGTGAATCTCTCAGTGAAGCTCTCCTTGACCCCCACTTGTCAGGTTGCCATTGTCCCAGGCTCCCACAGAACTCTGGATTTTCTCTGCAGTGGTTATTACACATTGCAGTCACTGGAGCGACTGTTTCACATGCATCTCCACCACCGGACCAGGAGCTTCTAGAGAGCAGGGGCCACATGGAAGATGCTCATTCCTGCATCCCCAGTGCTCAGCCCAGTTCCTGGCACAAAGTAAGTATTCAATAAATATTTACTGAATAAATAAACTTATTGCATTTGGCTGTTTCCTCCATTTGGAAGGCCCTTTTCATTCTCATCCATCTGGCAAGTTGAGGCCAGCCAGCTCCTATATTGCTCTGATTAAACTGTGAATTACTTTCACGGCAGGACCTGTGTTCCCAGTGCCTGGTAAAGGGCATGGTGCACACAATAAGCCTGCCAGTTGAAGCAGACCATTTTTACTTTGCTATGTATCCAGGTCCTACATCACTGCCCTGCTGAAGGTTCTTGAGTCAAGAAGCAGATGAAAAAATTATCAACCTTCTGTCTGATTCATAATGACTATCACTGGTAGTCGTTTTTTGTAGGATTTGTTTACAAATCCTACAAAATAAAATTGACAATGGCTAAGATGGCACCTGTGACGTTTGTTATGAAAAGAACTCAGAAGATTCACATCTTAAAGGTAACACTGGAAATTACAAGAAGCCAAGGAAATCAGATCTGGTTGAAATAATCAATGCAAACTAAAACAAACTGCCCACGTAAAATTTGCTCCTTACTAAACATTTATAGAGGACTGCCATTGACAGGTTTTTGGACCCACAAAATTTTACCAAAGAAAATGGAATTATGGCAGCCAGGTGTTGTGGATCATGCCTGTAATCCCAGCACTTTGGGAGGCCAAGGCAGGCAGATCCCTTTAGCCCAGGAGTTCGAGACCAGCCTGGGCAACATAGTGAAAGCCTGTCTCTATAAAATAAAAATAAAAATCAGTCGGACATGGTGGTGCACGCCAGTAGTCCCAGCTAGTTGGGGGGCTAAGATGGGAAGATTGCTTGAGCCCAAAGGTTGATGCTGCAGTGAGCCGTGATGGCGCCACTGCACTCCAGCTTGGGTGACAGGGTGAGACCGTGTCTCAAAAAGGAGGAAAGAAAAGAAAATTGAACTTGCTAGTGTCAATGCCTTTTAGCCAAAGACCACCAGGACACCTGTAGTTGAACACGTTGGGTTGCATTGAGGGAGAGTACATACCGTTACAGAACTATGGGGGGTATCTTCGAAAAGGGGTGTTATAAAGAACCTATTACTGGATTTGAGCTTTTATGGGTAACTTAAGAAGGGTCTATGAAAGTTGGATTCACCCTAGATTGCATGTGGTCAGGAAGCAGGAGCCAATTCCATGCCTGGGTATCTCAATAAATCTCATCTATAGAAAAGGCAAACTAGAAGAAAGACAAAACTAGTTAGCACGGGGCCGGGTGCGGTGGCTCACGCCTATAATCCCAGCACTTTGGGAGGCTGAGGCGGGTGGATCACGAGGTCAGGAGATGGAGACCATCCTGGCTAACACGGTGAAACCCCGTCTCTACTAAAAATACAAAAAATTAGCTGGGCGTGGTGGCGGGCGCCTGTAGTCACAGCTACTTGGGAGGCTGAGGCAGGAGAATGGCGTAAACCCGGGAGGCGGAGGTTGCAGGGAGCCGAGATCATGCCACTGCACTCCAGCACTCCAGACTGGGTGACAGAGCCAGACGCCAACTCAAAAAAAAAAAAAAAAGGAACTAGCAGACTAGCAGTCACTCATTTTCTCCAAGAAGGGTGTTTGATATTTTGTGAGTGGCACAGTGACCGTGTTTTTGTCTGTGCTTAGACAAAATTTCAAAGTAGATTTGCATTTGCTATGTCTCACTCTATCATACTCTCTGTAACCATATCTGAGGTTATTTTGTGATGCTATGTACAATAGGAGGATAACATGGTGGACCTATGATGCCAGGCTAGCTTCTGAATGTCGGGGTTGCCTTTTTTTTTCCTTTTCAATAAAATGAGCCTGAAATAAGAAATATCACAATGATGGAAACCAAAGTAAAATTCAACATACAAATTTTAAAGAAGTAAAATCTTTATCATGAAACTTATATGTAAAAGAATCAGTGAAGACAATTTCCATAAAATAAAAATGAATATGGATACTATTTACGTTGCATTAAAAAAACTGATCAAAGAATTGGTTTAATGGCAAAGGCTCTGGAAAATGCTTTTGCAACAGTTCATCACCGTTGATATAATCCTAATTAAAATTATCGGACTCCAGTTTTGGTGGAGATGTAAATTTGCTAGTGTCTTTGAAGAGCAATTTTGTCATATTCATGAAAATTAAAATTGCATTTGGCCTTTGACATAGAAATTTTACTTCTGGAAATTTACAGAGAAAGTTGCACGTGTGCACGTACACACAAGGATATTACCACACTACTCTAGTATTGTTTGTAATAACAAAAGATTGAAAAAATATTAATGTCCTCCAGTAAGAAACTGATTAAAATTCAGTATGAGACATCCATTGTAACCAAAGCTAGGCGGCCTTGAATAAGTCAGTGTCGCTCAGTGACAGGGCTCAGCCCACCCTCATGCAAACCCACCCCGCGGTGTGAGGCCAGGAGGGTGCGGTCACGAGGGGCCCAGGAAGTGTGTCCAATGCTTGAAGCAGCCCCCACGCTGGCGGTCCTGAGTCTGGGTCGCGCCCTGGTGTATCTCTTTTGACGTCTACTACCCACAGCCTGGGGGAGGAAAGTGGCGGCGAGGAGCAACTGTACGCGACTCGGGACCTTGCCCTTCTCCGCGGCCAGCGTCACAATGGCAACCGCGGGCAGCCGGTCACTGACAGCTGGAAAACGAGGACCCGAGCCAGGTTACAGGCTTAGACTTCGAGCAGCCCAGGGAGAGTCTCTGCGTCCTCCAGCCCCCGCTTCCCTTTCTGTCGGAGATCCTAAGCCCGCAGCGAAGTCTGCAAGTAGCTTTCCCCGACGCCCACGAGACCGGAAGTGCCTGGGCCCAGGTAGAGGAAGAACCCGCGTGGCCTCCTCTGCGCCCTCCCTGGCGTCCGCGCCCATTCCGGCGCTTCTCCCGCGTCCTTCACCATGGCAACTTCTGGCGCTCGGAGCGTGGGCCGCGAGCCAGGTGGGTGGGGAGCCGGTGGGCTCTACCCGCCAGCCCACGAGAAGTGACGACGGCGATGGGAGGCCGCAGGGACCTGAGGGCGGAGAGAGGAGTGCAGAAAGTGCCGGGCAGCGGCTTCCGTTTCCTCTGCGGGGTTTCTGGGTGGTCGTGGATGGGAGCTGCCGGAGGCCTGGCGGCCGTGCGCTTCTGCTCCGGGCAAGCTCTCCCTGCAGGGCCTGGGCGGCGGCAGGGGGCAGTAGCGGCCCGCGATGCTCGGAGGCTCCCTGGCACGGAGCTCCCGGGCTGGGGCACCTGGATCTGGAGAAGCCGAGGGCCTTGGTCACACTCAGAGCCGACGTCCAGTACGGCCCTTGCTGAGAACTCGAGTGAACAGATCTCTACCCAGCCCCCGCCCCACGCGCGCCCAACCTGGGTCAGCTCGCCCTGCCCTCAGCCACGCAGCTAGTGGCTAAGCACGGGCTCCGGGTTCGGGCTGCCTTGAGCTCTGTGGCTCCCTCTGAAAGTGGTGATAATGATAGCAGGTATCTTGGGGTTGCTTTGAGTATTAAACCAGTTAATTATACTTAGTACAATTTCTGGACTTAGTTTGTAGCACATGGTAAGTGCTCATGGGCTTGCCTGGGGCAAATTGGTTAACCTCTCAACCTTGCCTCGTTAAAAAGTGGGGATAATAATAGTACCCACTTAATATCGGTATAATAATTATAGGAGTTAATATTTGTAAAGTCCCTTGCTTTCAAGAACTTAGGACATTTTTTAAAAAATTGTAAAGGCCCTAGAATGGTTCCAGGCACATAGTAAGCTGCCTCTATTATTACCACAGTCATATTGTTGTTATCACTATGTTAAATAAAATTTATAAGAGGCTATTGGTTTGGACTGAGCCCCCGCACTATGCCCAACAGATCAACCCAATATGGAGTCACTTATGCTGAAGTTCCATGCCACCAGGCTGAAACTAAGTTGCTTATTAGACTTTCCTAGAAATTAGGAGAGAGAGACAGTTAATATAGCCAAATCCCCAAATAAACCAGCTTTAGCTGGCATGATGAGGAAGTCCTCTCTGCTTTAACCTTTACAAGGAAAATAACTTTGAAACAACCAATTCGCTTTTTGTTCTGTGTTTCTGCTTTCTTCAGCCCTTTTCTGTCTATAAAGCCAGCCTCCTCAGCTCAGCTAATCAGAGCACTCATTCTATTTTATAGAACGAGGCACTGGCTGATTCTAGAATGCAAATATAAGCCAATTAAGATTTTAAACTAAATTTCTTGTAATTTTTGTCTTTTGACAACTATTATCATCTGTTTGCATTGTGAGGTTGGAAAGGATTGCATTTGTCCTGCTACAAGGACTTTTAGCCTCTGGCAGGATTACAGAACCATTTGCCTGCATTTCTCCTTTTATTTCTCTAAGTTTTTCAGCTTTTTACATGGTTCTATAGAAGAGGCAGGATCGTGTCCTTAAAAGATCACTGGGCTGTGAGTCAGGTGGACTTTGGTCTTGGTTATGCTACTTGGGCAAGTCACTGTTTCCTCATCCATCTGTAAGCCTCTTTCAACAAAGGGTAGCTGGCATTATCTATTATGCATGTTTAGCCTTTCCGGTAAGGTAATGTATTTAGTAAAAATAAATTAGCATCTGTCAGCAACTCTCCAGGGTAGTAAGAGAAGGTGGCAGGTGCTTTGAGGAAGTTACAGATGAGAAGCTATGGGATTCTGAGAAGGGAGAGTAAGCTTCTTAATTTATACTTTAATTTCTAATAAGTAGAAATGTCAAGATGTACGGGGGTCAAATGAGAATGATTCTAGCCCTCCACCCCACTAAAAAGTCTGGGAAAGTGAATTTTCCCCTCTGAGGCTTTCTTATTTCTCAGTTGGAAATAAGATGTATGTTGGCAGCTACATTCATTATTGCTTGCAGTGTAATCCGGCCCCTGTATGGATTCCCAGACTTGGGCTCCTGAACTGACTTCTTCCATCAGCAGGAGCAAGAATATCATATTCACCATATTCTTCTCTCTCTCTCTCTCTCTTTTTTTTTTTTAGACAGTCACACTCTGTCACCCAGGCTGGAGTGCAGTGGCGCGATCTTGGCTTACTTCAGCTTGCAACCTCTGCCTCCCTGGCTCAAGCAACTCTTGTGCCTAAGCTTCCCAAGTAGTTACAGGCATGAGCCACCATGACCGGCTAAGTTTTTGTATTTTTTAGCAGAGACAGGGTTTCTCCATGTTGGCCAGGCTGGTCTTGAACTCCTAATCTCAAATCTGCCCATCTTGGCTGCTTCCCAAAGTGCTGGGATTACAGGTGTGAGCCACTGTGCCTGGCCCTTTGTTTTTTGTTTGTTTGTTTGTTTTTGAGACAGAGTCTCACCCTGTTGTCCAGGCTGGAGTTCAATGGCACAGTCACAGCTCACTGCAGCCTCGTCCTCTAGAGCTCAAGTGATCCTTTCACCTCAACCTCCCTAGTAGCTGGGACCACAGGCACACACAACCATGCCCAGCTAATTATATTTTCATTTTTTGTAGGAATGGGTGAGGTGTCCCTATGTAGCCCAGGCTGGTCTTGAACTCCTGGGCTCAACGGATCTTCCCTCCTTGGCTTCCCAAAGTGCTGGGATTATAGACATAAACCGCCGCACCTGGCCTTCTTTTTGTTTTCAGAAACCCTCCCTTCACTATCAGAGGGTGAAGTCCCTATTTATCCTACTTAGGTTAATGCACTAGGTTAGAGTAAACAGTGTTTCCTAGCAGTTATGGGCACTGGCTTTTATAGTCAGGGGATTTGAACCCTGCTGTGATTCTGAATCAGTGTCTGAGCCTCAGTTTCTTCATCTTCAAAACAAGGACAGTAATACCGAGGGCTGTTGTGATGATAGTGTGAGATCTTGCACTTAAAGAATACAACATGGCCGGGTGCAGTGGCTCATACCTGTAATCCTAGCACTTTGGGAGGCCGAGGCAGGCAGATCACAAGGTCAGGAGTTCGAGACCAGCCTGACCAACATGATGAAACTCCATCTCTCCTAAAAATACAAAAATTACCCGGGCGTGGTGGCACAGATTTGTAATTCCAGTTACTCTGGAGTCGGAGGCAGGAGAATGGCTTGAACCCAGGAGGCGGATGTTGCAGTGAGCTGAGATCGCGCCATTGCACTCCAGCCTGCATGACAGAGACTCCAACTCAAAAACAAAAAATAAAAAACAAACAAAAAAAAGAATCCAGCGGTACTTGCTAGGATAAGTGCTCAAAAAAATGTTGGCTGCTCTTTTTAAAAATATATGTAAATAAATACGGGATCTTACTGTGTTGCCAAGGCTTGTCTCAAACTCCTGGCCTCAAGCCATCCTCCTGCCCCAGCCTTCCAAAGTGCTGGGATTATAGGCATGTGCCACCACACCCAGCTGGCTGCTCTTTTTTTAGCACTGTCATCATAGTTATTACATTGTTAGTTTACAAAAGGCAGGGTAATCTTTTGTAGTCTTTTTCTTCTCTTTGTTGCGTGGCAGATTTCTTTATTGCCAGCAAATGTTTGTTGAATGAATGAGTGAATCCACCCAGGAAGCTCTAGTAGCAGTGAATTTCACATTGCCCTGACTAATAGCAGCTCTGCGCCAGAAACCATATTCAGTCCCATTACCTTGTTGAATCCTCAAGTTTGATGACTTTGTCTAGCCTTCCAATTTGGTTCCTGAAGCATTGGTGTCATTGATTCACAGTCCAGAAGCTGGGAGTAATGTCTGCTGCAGATTTCTGTATTGTTTCCATAATGAAGCTGACAGCAGCATACTATCTGTAGCCTGTGCTAAGATAGGAGTTGGGTGTCATGCTGACGTCAGACACTGTGTTCTCATTTCCCCAAGGATGAGCTGGCTTCCTTGATGCAGTTTCCTCATCTCATTAGTGCATTGCTTGATATTATACTTCTGAAACAGCAGGGCTCAATCAGAGTTTAGCATTGCAACTCTATCAGGGTGATAATGTCACAGGGCATCAAGTTCCTTCTTTTGTCCCTTTGTGGCCACTTTCTGAGAAGTGTAGCAGCTGTAGGGGAAGGACAGACCAGGGAAGGTCTTTTTGCTTCTTCTGATCCACTAACTGTATTTGAGTTTTGGGTTAGAGAAGCCTTTAGAAACCTCTAATTTAGTACTTTTTAAACCCTGTTCTGTGGGGGTTTTAGAATTCATAGGACTCCCTCGTCCTGCCAGGAGCTGCTTCTGGGGAAAAGACCTACCTGAACAGGTAGAACTTGGGGCATCCTACCTCTGGTTCAACCAAAGCGAGCCCTGTGACATCTCTGGGACACTGAGGGACAAAGTTATTTTTATTCCTCAGTAGAGACTCTGAAAGCCAGTCAGCACCATTGTCGGACTTTGAGCAAGCGATTTATGCATTTGCAGTATTTATTCATTCATTCAGCACATTCTCAGACACTCTACTAAGGGGCTGGTGATAGAGGAAGAAACAAAGATCCTGCCATCAGAGAGCTTACATTCTGGTAGGAGGAGACAGACAGTAAAATATGTGCCATGCAGGGCCTCTCCAAGGATGTAGAACGAACAAGAGGGCTGAAGGAAGTGAGGGGCTGATAAATGGTGGAAGAATGTTCTAAGCAGAGGAAATAGCTGTGCAGAGTCTCTGAGATAGGATGCCAGAGCAGCTGGAGAAGAGGGAATGATAGAGCCAGTGGAGGTAGACAAGAGGCGGGGGTCTAGATTACCAGGACCTTTGAGCCATGGAGAGGAATTTAGATTTTACTCAGAAGGAGATGTGAGGACGTTGGAGAGGTGAAAGCAGAGGAATGACAGGACTTGATTAATAGGGCCATTCCGGCTACTGGGTAGAGAACAGAACTTAGGGAGTGAGAGTGGAAGCAAAGACCAAATAGGCTTTTAGAAGGGTCCAGGTGTGAGGTGACAATAGCTTGGACTGGCATAGTAAAGAAAGGTGAGAAGTACCTGCACTTGGGATGCATTTTGAAGGCAGACCTTATGCGTTCTGCTAATGAGTTCCATATTATTGAGTGGGAGAGAAAGAGGAATCGACAATGACCGTAGGGCTTGGGCCTGTGCACCTGGATGGAGGGCGCTGTTTACTGAGACAGTAACCACAGACATTTGTCACAGTCACAGTTTGCCAATTCAACTGCTTTTCATGATGGAGGAGGAACCGCTCTAGGTTGGTGTCAGAAGGTCTGAGACCAGGAGAGTGTTTTAGCCGAGGTTTTCTCGTAACAGTCACTTGCCCACAGTCACATAAGTTGGATCTAGAACTAGAGGAAATGATCCAAGGCTGCATAGTGCCTATTAGCATCCACAAAAATCTCATTTCTGTTTGGCTGCACTTCAGGTTCAGGCAGCTGGTGTATTTTGATGTCTTGGTGGTTCCATGCTGTGAGAAGAGTCTGTGTCATGCAAATTAGCAGCCTTTTCTTTTCTCCCAGGAGCACCCTTCAAGGAGAATTAGACAAATTGGAGTCTACTCGGAAGAGGCTGTTGGGAATGGCCCTGACACCACATCCTGACAGGGATGGCCGATGGAATGGGGAGAAGACTCAGGTGGGGCTTGAGTTTGTCCTCTGATGACTGAAGGGCCTTGGGAGCGAGCATCCTTCCTGCTACTGTGTGTTCGCTGGTTCCGATGATACATAATTTGTGCTTTTCGTAATTCAAGTATTACCTTGTAGATCTTGATGGTGCTGACTACTTCCCCGTGGAGGCGTATGACCTGGAGATGAGGTCAGCATACCCCACCACCACAGTTCCCCAGACCAAAAACTGAAACGGCCTAGGGGGTTTCAGAAGTTTTAAAACTGGGCCTCTTGGGTCTTGACCTACAAGGAGATGAGATAGTTCCCGTGTGGGCATGAATGAAGGTGGCGGCCTTGAGCGAGCTGCAGGAGTCCAGGGGCAAGAGCCTAGAGGAGGCACCTAGGAAGCTTGTGGCAGTTACAGAGGCTACATGTGTGTTGGCTTAGGGCAGAGGCCTGTCCTATGGAGACTTGTCTGTTCTGTCATTTAGGATTATGTGCAGCTGCAAGAAACAGAATACCACTTAAGGTGCCTTCAGAAAAGCAGGGCTTTATTTTTCTCACATGACAAGAGACGTGAATTGGTTTTGGTTCAGTTGCTAAACGTTGCCAGCAAGAATTCAGGCCTCACATCTCCCCTCCCTTGGCAGGCTGGCTTTGGTTCTCATGGCCGTGAATTGCCTGCCTCGGCTCTGGGCATTAAGCCTTCGTTCAGGACAGGAAGAAATGGGAGAGGGAGGAAGGGGCAATGCCAGCTGGGTCTTTTTTTTTTTTTTTTTAACATTTTTGTTCTCTTTTAAGACTTTATTTAAGTAGCTTTAGATTTTTTTTTTCTTAGATTCACAACAAAATTGAGTGGAAGGTACAGAGATTTCTCATACACCTCCTACCCACCCTTCCACACCCACCGTCTCTTCATTATCAACATCCCTGAAGCCAGTGGTGCATTTGTTACAGCTGATGGACCTATATTGACACATCACAGTCACCCCACGTTCACAGTTTACATTAGGGCTCACTCTTGGTATTGTACATTCTGTGGGTTTGGATAAACCTGTGATGACATACATTCAGCGTTATAGTCTCATAGTCTCATACAGAGTAGTTTCACTGCCCTAAAAATCCTCTTCAATGCTTCCCCTATTCATCCCTCCCTTTCCCCAACCGCTGGCAACCACTGGCAACCACTGATTTTTTCACTGTCTCCATAGTTTTGCCTTTTCCAGAATGTCATATAATGGGAATCATGTAGTTGGCAGCCTTTTCTAATTGTTTTTTCTTCATTTAGTAATATGCGTATTGTAATATGCAATACTTATCAAGTCATGTATTTCTATGGCTTAATAACTCATTTCTTGTTTGTTGGGCTTTTTTTTTATTTTTTGAGATGAAGTCTCACTCTTGTTGCCCAGGCTGGAGTGCAATGGCACGATCTTGGCTCACTGCAACCTCTGCCTCCCAAGTTCAAGCAATTCTCCAGCCTCAGTCTCTGAGTAGCTGGGACTACAGGCACACGCCGCCACGTACAGCTAATTTTTCGTATTTTGGTAGAGACAGGATTTCACCGTGTTGTCCAGGCTGATTGTGAACTCCTGAGCTCAGGCAATCCACCCGACTTGGCCTCCCAAAGTGCTGGGATTATAGGCATGAGCCACGGCACCTGGCCGATAACTTATTTCTTTTGAGCTCTAAATAATATTCCACTGTCTAGATGTACCATAGTTTATTCAGTTACCTACTGAAGGACATCTTAGTTGCTTCCACGTTTTGACAATTATGAATAAAGCTGATGTAAACATTTATGTGCAGATTTTTGTATGGACATACGTTTTCAGTTCTTTCGGGTAAATACCAAGGAGTGAGAGTGTAAGAGTATGTTTAGTTTTGTTAGAAACTGCCAAACTGTGTTCCAAAATAACTGCACCACTTTGCATTCCCACCAGCAATGAATGGGAGTGTCTGTTGCTCCACATCCTCACCTGTGTTTGGTGTCATCAGTGTGCCAGATTTTACTCATTCTAATGGGTGTATTGTGTCGGTCTTTTTTTAAATCAGGAAAGCCAAAACCTTCCCAGAATCCTATCCAAATCCCCACCCCACCAGCCTTCCACTTGGCCAGAGCTATGTCACTATGACCATCCCTAGCTGAAAGAGAGATGGGAAAATGAGTATTTAGTTTTGTAACCCCTCTGGGAGAGGCAGATGGGAGAAAGGGGGAAGAGCCCCCTAGGGCAACACTGTCCAATAGAAATAGAGCCACATACTTAATTTTCAATGTTCTAGTAGCCACATGTTTTAAAAGGTAAAAATAGAAACCTAGGTGAATCAATGTTTAAACATTTATTTTATCTAACCCAATATATCCAAAATCATTTCAGCATGAAATCCATATAAAAATTATTTAAGAGATATTTTACACTCTTTTTTTTTTGAGATGGAGTCTTGCTCTGTCGCCTAGGCTGGAGTGCAGTGGCATGATCTCGGCTCACTGCAAGCTCTGCCTCCTGGGGTCATGCCATTCTCCTGCCTCAGCCTCCCAAGTAACTGGGATTACAGGCGCCTGCCACCACGCCCGGCTAATTTTTTGTATTTTTAGTAGAGACAGGGTTTCACCGTGTCAGCCAGGATGGTCTCCATCTCCTAACCTCGTGATCCGCCCACCTTGGCCACCCAAAGTGCTGGGATTACAGGCGTGAGCCACCACGCCCGGCCTACACTCTTTTTTAAAATAAAGTTCTCAGGCCAGGTGCAGTGGCTCATGCCTGTAATTTCAGCACTTCAGGAGGCCGAAGGAGGCAGATCACCTGAGAAGTCAGGAGTTTGAGACCAGCCTCACCAACATGGTGAAACCCTGTCTCTACTAAAAATACAAAAATTAGCTGAGCATGGTGGCGGGTGTCTGTAATCCCAGCTACTTGGGAGGCTGAGGCAGGATAATTGCTTGAACCAGGGAGGCAGAGGTTGCAGTGAGCTGAGATTGTGCCATTGCACTCCAGGCTGGGTGACAGAGCAAGACTCTGTCTCAAAAATAAATAAATAAATAAAGTTTTCAAAATCTGATGCATATGTTGCACATACAGCACATCTCAGTTTGGACCAGCTACATTTCGAGTGCTCAGTAGCCACACATGACTAATGGCTGCCATATTAGACAGCACAGGGGTAGATGGCATGTTGGGTAAGAAAGTCAATTCTTGCCACATCCCTTTTGTTGCTGCCAGTGTTGTCTCTAATTATTTCCTTTTCATTCTCCCAACTGATTTCAGAAAATGCCATCCTGTCTTAACCTGCTGAAGAGAAAGAAGAAAGGGGACTGTGGGTGTATTCGGGCTAAAGTAATAATTAGGGAGACAGGAGCATTCTGGGGCCAGGCAAGGTGAGAGCAGTGGAATTCAAATTTTCAGAGCCCCAGGGGACTCATGAAGGATGGATGGGAGGAAAAGGACGGCAAGAGGTAGGCCAATTGCTGTCATGAGGAAGAGTTAAATTCTTAAGTCAAAATCAAAATAAAGACTGGGTGTGGTGGCTCATACCTGTAATCCTAGCACTTTGGGAGGCCCAGGTGGGAGGATCACTTGAGCCCAGGAGTTTGAATCCAGCCTGGGCAACAAAGTGAGATCCCCATCTCTACAAAAAAGTAAAAATTAGCTGGGCATTGTAGCACACACTTGTAGTCCCAGCTACTCAGGAGGCTAAGGCTAGAGGATTGCTTGAGCCTAGGAGGTTGAGGCTGCAGTGAGCCGTGATCAAGCCGCTGCACTCTAGCCTGGACAACAGAGTGAGGCTCTGTCTCAGAAAAGAAAAAACAACAACAACAAAAAGAAAACTGTGTTGTTCTCTGATTACAGAAGTGAAACTTTTATAAAATATGAGGAAAACAAAAGCACTGAATAAATATCTCTCTAATGGTAGTGATAGTCCCCGTTAATAGTATATTAATTGTATATTTTATTAATTTTGTTTATACTTGTATATGTATACATGTATATGTAACACCTGTTTTTTTTACTTTAAAATGTATTATGAACCTTTCCCCGTGTCATTAAGTACTCTTTTTTTTTTTTTTTTTTGAGACAGGGTCTCACTCTGTCACTCAGGCTGGAGTGTAGTAGGACAGTTATACAGTTATAGCTCACCGCAGCCTTGACCTCCCAGGCTCGAGTGATTCTCCCACCTCAGCCTCCCAAATAGCTGTGACCACAGGCATGTGCCACCATACACAGAGAATTTTTGTATTTCTTCTAGAGATGGGGTTTCACCATCTGGTCTTGAACTCCTGGGCTCAAGCAATCCTGCCTTGGCCTCCCAAAGTGCTGGGATTACAGGCGTGAGGCACTGTGCCCTGCCTTTAAGTATTCTTTTAAAATAGGATTTGTAATTATTGTGATTAGATGGCATTTCATCCTATGGGTATGCTGTAATTTAATTCAACCAGTCCTCTTTTGTTGGACATTTAGGTTTAATCAAGGTTTGTTTGTGATAGGCAGTGTTACTATAAACATCTGTAATCAGTCTTAGCGCACGTTTCTGATTTGCTGGTTGAGGGGGTATAAATATTTTAGGGCAATTTATACATACTTTCATCTTCTGTCTGTCTTTCTTTTTTTTTT